AAAAAAAAAAAAGAAAGAAAATATTTTTCAATATTAATGACCCCCGCCTTCTGCTCTTTCCAGACAGAGGTGCCTCTTACTCCAAAGGAAGTCTGACCCAGCAGAAAAGCAGAGAAAACACTTCAGCATTTTAAGAACTGGGATTTTGGGGTTGCAAGAGCCTGGGCTTTGAGTTTCAATCAAAAGTGGAACCCCTGGAGGCCTCTAGGAATAAAGTTTATGTCAGGAACAAAAGGTCTGGGAGATTGAGCACCATCTAAGTCACTTGCCATGATTGAGATGAGGTCAAGTGTCCTGGGACAGGGTCAAGGCAGAGGAGCAGAGGAGATAGGATGAGTTGTGGGTGTCCAGAGAGGGGAACAGAGCCCACGCAGTGGCCCATGCTGGCTTCCTAACTAAGGGACGGTTGGTGACAGTTTCAGGAGAAAACCTTCCCCTCCCTGCAAGGCACAGGAGCAGTGGGGAGGGACAGCACCTGGGAGTGATCAGAGGTCTGCCAGACCCTGCCAATGTCTCTCATGTGCCCAAGAGGAGAGAGGACGAAGCTGAGAGAAGAGAGAAACTGGGCACAGAGGAGACTTCTGGGGGCCCGAGCAGCGTATCTGCCACCCGGAAGACAGAAATGAGGTCACTTCAGCAGATGCCAGGAAGACCAGATGCTGCTCCCCGCCCAGGCCTTGGCACTTTGGGAGCTTGTCCTGCATCAAAGACAAATACAGACACAACCCAGGGCGAGAGGTAGGGAGGCCTGATGAACTTCCAGTAGGTGTCTTCTCCCTGTGGAACGGGAACTTGCAATAAAAACAAAATCTAGCTTTGAGAACAGCGGAAGTTATGTTTCTTGCACAGTTCGGGGTGCGGGCTGAATGTCCTGCTCCTTTCCCCGGGGACACCAGGGTTCTGAAGGAGAGGCGGATGGGGCAGGTTGTGGAGCAGAGGCTTGCTACGCCTGTCCTTTCTGCCCCTTCTTGTGGCCGGCAACCCACTGCTCCCTCTTTCCCACTGTGCAGACTGTCCTGGTCTCCACATCTGCAGAAAGGCTCCCCTCGGCTCGGCGCCTATAGCTCAACCGGCTAAGGCGCCAGCCACGTACACCTAAGGTGGCGGGTTCGAATCCCCAGCCCGGACCCGCCAAACA